ACGGGATAACGCCTTCCCTCACAGCCTTGGAGCTACTTGCCGAGTATTTTATACTTTCGGCTGGCGGGGACAGTACACTGCTGAGCGGATCGAGCCGGGCTTGCCCGCATACCCTAAGGGCAATCAGATCCGGTGGCCAGTGGATATACATCCTGGAGACTTCTCTTACTCCGCTTATATTGTGCAGCCGACTTACAGGAGATATTCCCGGCGACTCTATACCAGTGATGGCGAACCTTTTTGAGCCGGAGTGCCCAAACTGGATCACTAAACCAACTTATGTATCTCAGAGTGCCAACCCTTCCATTAGACCTGAATACTCTCAGGGGGGGGCTCTGCAGTTCTGAGGTGGTCTGTACGGGCTCTCAGGGGGCTGTGCGGCTCTCAGGTGGGGTTTCTGGTGATCTGTCCAGGCTCTCAGGGGAGCTATGCAGCTCTCAGACGGTCTATTATGGCTTTTGGGTGGGCTCTGTGGTCCCTCTGGTGGTATGTATGGGCTCTCTGGGGGGCTGTGTGGCTCTCGGGTGGCCTCCTAAGGGTTTTCAGGTGGGCTCTCTGTGCAGCAATAATAATCACCCCCTTACCCGCAGCAATAATAATCACCCCCTTACCCGCAGCAATAATAAATGATCCTTGGGGTAGATTAATACTGCAGCCGGGACAGAAATTACTATTAGGTATTTGCCGGCGTATAAGACGACCCCCCACTTTTGTGTAAAAAAAATAAATATATGTTTTGGGCTATACTGGTCGTATAAGACGAGTATAGCCCAAAATAATGTTAAAATGCGCCCACTAACCTCCATGGCGGTATTCCCGAGTGTGGCTCGGGGTTAATTTTCAGTACCATAAGCGGTAACCCCCGAGCCACACTCGGGAATACAGTCTCTTACCTTGTCCACGATCCCCGCTGTGTCCTCCGTCTTCCGCTGAGCCAATCACGGCAGGCTTTGTATTTAATGAATACAAAGCCTGCCGTGATTGGCTCAGCGCCATGAATACAGGCTTTGAATACTTGTCGGCTGCCGCAGCTCTCCGTCTTCCTTCGCGGCAGCCGAAAATGGTGACATAGTCCCCTCTCTTCTGCTGTCAGTTCAGCGCGGGAGAGAGGGAACTACTGTATAGTGGACTGGGACAGCCATAGTTGTGTCCATTTGGTAATGCGGACCTGGGCTCGCGTGCCAGCAGAGGGGGCCCCACGTGCCATAGGTTCGCCACCGCTGGTCTATACGAAGGGAATAACCGGCTCCATTGCAGGTGAACATCCAGATAATCCTGGGAAAGAAATTCGATCTCTGCGGCTAAAATGAAGCGATTCCTTATTACTGTTGGCGCCATGTAAATAATAATAGTTACAAATCACCGTATGGATACATTTTGGATGTTTACTGAAAAACCAACTAACTATCCAGCGTGAGACTCGGTGCGGATCGCTACATTGAAACTACAAACGGAGTGAGTTGCTTCCGCACATTAAGATACAATTGTATCCCATCTACATACCAGCGACTGCTCGCCACCCTTCGTGGGCACTCGTATTACCACCATCACCGACATCCATTTGTTGGAGCGGTTGTAGGGAAGCCTCGGACATTTTAAGGTTTTTAATTGTTTGTGTCATGTGATGTAGTTTTTGCATTTTTCTATAATCATTAAAACTCCTTGTAATATATTTCATTGTTACTTATTCATCAGACGTCTCCTTGTCTGGGATTTCTTTGCTTAAAGGGAATCGCGTGTTTATTACAATCCAAATTTCATTCAGGTGCTTTGTTTTTTTTGGTCATCTCACACACACTATATTACCAAAAGTATTGGGACGCCCCTCCGAATCATTGGATTCCGGTGGATTTCCCGGCTACTAAATATTCCGTGTGGGAGGAGTTTGGGGACGGCCCCTTCCTGTTCCAACATGACTGCGCACCAGTGCACAAAGCAAGGTCCATAAAGACATGGGAGGGGGGGGAACGTGACTGGCCGCACAGAGTCCTGACCTCAACCCCATAGAACACCTTTGGGATGAATTAGAGGCGGAGACTGTGAGCCCCTCCCCCAACATCAGTACCTGACCTCACAAATGGCCCAACATTCCCATAGACACACCCCTAAACCTTGTGGACGCCTTCCCAGAAGAGGCAGAGCTGTAATAGCGGCAAAGGGCGGAGCCAACCCAATACTGAACCCTACGGACTAAGACTAGGATGCCATTAGAGGGGCGGAGCCAACCCAATACTGAACCCTCCGGACAAAGACTGGGAAGCCATTAGAGTTCATGTGCGTGTAAAGGCGTCCCGATACTTCTGGTAATATAGTGTACAAGAGAGAACATGGCTCTATGGAGAGTACCAGGATAAGGTGGCCAGTGAACCTGCGGTAGGTAGCCCAGAAGGCCCCTTTGCTACTCCCCGTGTTCTGTTCCATGCAGCAAAATCTGGGGCAGTTGAGCCTGGCAACCAATCAGCTTCCAGCTTTCATTTTCAAAACAAGAAAAGCCGATTGGTTACTGTGCCCAGCTGCTCCAGTTTTAGTAAATGACTCCCTTAGTGACCCCATTACAGTGGGTGTGTTAAACCTCTGCAGAGAGACCACTGCTTCCGCACAGAACGTGTGTTACCTACTCCTGACAGAATTTGCCCGGACAGCAGAATGGAAATAACTGACTTTTGTCTCTGCTGCTCCTCCCCTCCGGGTTTAATATACACGATGCATCCAAAATGTTGTGGAGCCCGAACATCACACCTACTACAGACCACCTTTATGGCCAATGGTGTGTGCATCGCCCTCCCAATGAGGGAGTTCAGGTGTTTCGTCATAATATTTCATCATAGAAGACGTAGACTATCATGCTCTTCCTGCCTTGTGGTCACAGTTGGGTGAAGACCCTTTTATGTTCCACCATGACTGTCCCCTGTGTACAAAGCCAGCTCCATAAAGACACGTCCATGTGACCAGTTTGGTGGAGGAACTCGAGTGTCCTGCACAGGTCCCCGACCTCAACCCTACTGAACACCTTTGGGATGAATTGGAGTAACGATTGTGAGCCGGGTCTCCTCATCCAACATCAGTACCTGACCTCACAAATGGGCACAAGTATGTGGACCCTCCTCTTCTTTTCCGGCATGACTGTCCCTGTGTACAGAGCCAGCTCCATAAAGACATGGCGTGACCAGTCCTGACCTCAACCCTACGGAACACCTTTGGAGGAGCTGGACTAGGTCTTCTCATCCAACATGGCGTGACCAGTCCTGGCCTCAACCCTACGGAACACCTTTGGAGGAGCTGGACTAGGTCTTCTCATCCAACATGGCGTGACCAGTTTGGTGTGGAGGAACTTGAGTGTTCTGCACAGAGCCCCGACCTCAACCCTACTGAACACCTCTGCAATGAATTGGAACGCTTATTGTGAGTCCGGGTCTTCTCATCCAACATCAGTACCTGACCTCACACATGGGACGAATCCCACAGACACCCTCCAAAACTACATGGGAAGTCCTCCCAGAAGAGTGGAGTTTGTTTTAAACCCAAAGGGAGGCCAATTTCATATTACTGTCCATGGTTTTGGATTGGGACATCCCACAGGCTTGCACAGGTTCGATGGTCAGGTGACCATATAACGTAATTGTAAATATTCCAGTCGTTGCCCATTCAAGGAGGAAAGGGTTGGACCATAAAACAGGTTCTCTTGGCTCGGTCAGTACAAGTATCTACTTTACATTCTTTATTTTTTTACGCATTCTTATAAAAGTATAAAACATTACAAGGCGTTAGGTGAGCTAAGAGTGAACCGGCGCTTTGCCCGTGCAGTAGAAAGTAATGGACTCAATTCAATATTCTTCAAGATCCAATTAGTCCCATCGCACTCCTAAACGGAGAGAAACCCAACGTACGGGGCGGGTGTCTTTGCAGGCAACGACAAAGCCACTCACACTCCGATTCCATGTCCAGTCCACTCATTTATTGGCTGAGATGGTGTGACGTTTTAAGGCAACGTTTCGGGAACCCAGCGGGCTCCTTCAGCGGGCAAGCAGTTCTGTTCCGTTTGGCTGATGAAGGAACCCGCTGGGTTCCCGAAACGTTGCATTAAGATGTCACACCATCTCAGCCAAAAAATGAGTGGACTGGACATGGAATTGGAGTGCGAGTGGCTTTGTCGTTGGCTATCAATTTGTGCTGCCCCAATGGGGCATAGAATATGAGATGCATGGCCTCAATTAATATTTACATTAATAGTAGATAAGAATTTATATCGTTTGTTTCCTTGAAAACTTTTCCTATGGCTATTTTATGGTTAGTTCATATGCTGCCATCTAGTGGCCTTTTGTGGTAATGCACATGTTTTCTATGTTCCCTTTCCCTGGTCTATGATGCATTTCCCTTTGCACGCAATGCTCCGCCCTTCTTCCTCGGGAAGCATTTCCTGTGTCATGGCTGCAGCTAACAGGCCACATGTAACAGGGACACATGTAATCTGCATTGCATGCTACAGACAGTATCATCTTTTGACCGCTTAAATACTGCAATTCATCCATCTGCTGTACCCTGTCGTCTGATGTACAGAATAAAGCAACCTTGTGGATGAAAAGGGTATTTGGTGAGTTCAGCTATCTGATAAGGATTGTCCGCAGTGATTGTATCTGCTTATACAGGCCGGGCATAGAGGTCTCAGCAAGGGGGATAAATCGCTATCACAACAATCGGAGTCAGAATACAATTCAATATTAGCCCCCGCCCCCTTACTACTTCTGCTCATAAGCCATTGATCCTGCACCCATCCCC